GATAGCATTTTTAATGCTGTCTACTATATGTGGTCAGCTATCCCAGCCACTATGACACAGGACACTAATATAAAGCAAGCAAGGCAACAGTATATAAAGCAATATAATCAGGAAGAAATAAAACATAAGTCCTCTTGTAAACTTGAAATAACACACTTCTAAATGCTGGCTTCTGTCTTTTCAATATTAAGTGATGATGTTCATGAAAACTAAGCAAACAGCAAGATCATTATTTAACAGAAAAAGAAAATCAATCATGTTTTCATTACAGTCATTAACACTTCTTCTAAGGTCTCAACCATTCAAGCAACTATCAGTGTAGGTTGCTATAAGCAGACTTAGTTGAACCCAGACTGATCCAAGTCTCAAGTTACTAGCAGTTGCAGAAGTCTTCAAATGTCTACAACCACAACAAATCTCAGCATTCTGTTTTCCTAAAATACTCACATGTTCCTTTTGGTACCTAAACATACATATCAAACCAAAGTTTTAAATTCTCTTACCATTAAGTTTCCATTAAGAAACACATGCACAAGCAGGACACACTAAGTGTACAACATTAGAACCAGGTGCTATTTAAAGTTATTCTGGTTATCAGCCTGCTCTCTAACTTCACCTTAAGAGAGGTGGCACACTGAACCCTCAGCTTGGAACACCCATTTCCTCCAGACCCACATTCATCTCAGACTTCCTTCTTCTCCCAAGAAAGGACTGCTGCCACCTGTGTAGACTAGGTTTCAGATGGAAAATCCTCCAGTTTTTTGTTCTCCCATATCAAGGGATGAAGTACAATTAACAATTATATTCAGCTTTCATCTGGTAAAGCCTGAGCAGTTATTCTCCTCAATGATGAGACTTTTGTTTTTCCTTTGTTTTCCCTTTGTTTTTCCAACACCTTTGCTCCTCCAAAGGATCCCTTCCTATTGCTCATGTAAACTGTGTTCCTTCTAGGAATGTGGCAAGTGTTCACATGAACAGGTGGTGACTTACACTAATGTGTAATTTGAAAACTGTATCATTTGTCCATATATGAATGAAGTTACTGCAGTTTGTAGAGGCCACTCATTAAAAATGTATCTTACAGGAAATCACATCCACTTTCATCTCACAACTGTGAAGAGTTACCAGTTTGGTTTTTTTTTCATGAAGACTTATCAGAGTAATTTATAAAAGCACTCCCTACCGCCTTTAGCCAAGGGCTGACTAAAGTGCTTGCAAGCCTTTTTCTCTGCAACCTTTTGTGTTCACAGATTTCTCCATCATCGCAGAAGGGTAACTAAAATTACTAAAAGTTTGACCAACACGTCTTTTACTTGGATGAAAAAAGTTTTGTTCTTTATGCCTAAAAACTAAATTCACAAAATTCAAAAATATTTGGTCTTGAAAACACTGTTACAATAACATGATTTAAACTTAACAGACAGCCCTTTTGCATCCTGAAGATGTTAGCTGAATCCCCTTCCCAAAGTATTGAGGACTCAAAGCTGCAAAGATTAAACCAAAAACTACCAAACAAAACCTCTGTATGCCCTGTAAGCCATGAACTTGATGGCACTCCCTCAAATTCAACTTTGCTCATGTCAGCTGTTTTCAGACCTTTCAAACATAGACAATTTTTGGGTCAAAACTTAGAATACATTTTGAAAAGTTTTATCTTAATAACTTTTCATAAAAAAATAGATCTTGTATACTTAACACATGTACTAACACTACTCTACATAGCCACTTAGACTCTGCACTACTGGGTTTTCATATGGTAATAGTTTTTGTTTCATAACTCCAAAATACTTTACCAGTCCTTTCAAATCACACCAGTGCACTTTTTAATTAAAAAAAAGGGATGTTTGTCTATACATTTATAGTCAAAAATATATCCTTCTGTCAGTTTACACAGTCATTTCTAATCTCCAACTTAAATATACGACAGAAAGGCACTTCCTACAACCACTGTGTTTTCTCCTTCAAAATGTAAACACTTTGCCTGGCACTCAACTCTGCTTCTTTTACTACTAATCCTGCCACAAAGGTGATAGACCTAACAAGATACTCTTTTCTTTTTATCTTCAAATAATGAGATTTAGATACCAAATATGTAACAGAAAGTAAACTGCCTCAATTTCTCCCAATTCCAATAAAGGGACTCCTCATTTACATTCAAGACACACAGTCTTTATGCATTCCTACTACCACCACCTCACTTCCAGTTCAGCTGCTTTCCTCACATTTCAACTGCAACTTTATTTTCCCAACAACTCAAGAGTGAGTTTACATTTACATAACCAAAGTGAAAATTGGAAATGCTCACATTTCAAGTGATGTGAACCTAGCTGTTGTTCAATATCCTAACAAAATCTTCCAAATACTGAAACTCCATTCTACAGGCTACTTTAATTCTGTTTCAAGCTTAGTCTTACAAAAGGACAGGAGGCAAGCCAATAACCCCACTTGGCAGCTCAACTGACCAATTTAACCAACCCAAGATTAGAACCGATTGTTTAAGCAAGCTTTTTGTTGTTGTTTTTTTTTTTCCTCCTGGAAAACATTGCAACATTTTTACTAATTTTCTCTTTTAAGTAACGGCTACAGCTTTGCTAAAACTCTCTGCAAGTGACAGGAAAAAGGAAGCATTTGTCATTGTAAATTCTGTAAAGAGAAAAATATTTTGTCTGCTCCTAAGTGCACCAAACAAAGTTTTTTCCTTGTTCACTGATCGCTGCGTCCATTGTGTTTCACTGAAAAAAAATGTGCCTGTTGTTCAAACAAAGGGAAGCACCGGAGATCTCTTAATAGACCCTCTCCTAATAGAAGAGTGGATCATGTACAGAGGCGGAATTCAAAGAGCTCTTCTCAATGCCAAACACCCACAACAGATGCCAGAACATTTTCCAGTGTATGTTAGAGCCCAGGCTGAACCACATAACCTCCACATGTAAATACGGAAATGAGAATGCCAGTTGTTAAATATGCTCTAAGAGTTTTTTGATAAGCATGTCCTTCTACTGCTTTAAGATTTTCAGTTACTGCAAAATTGAGCTCAGTGCAACTTCCCTGTTATCAGAAGTTATCAGCATCAGAAGTCATCACTGCACCACTTACGAGCTTACCAGCTGTAGCATCCTTCAACCCACACATAAATGTAAAAGTTGATTATTAATACAGCTGGCAGGGTCTTCCAAAACTGCAAGATTACTACACAAGCACGCATTTGTAACTACACTAGACAGACTACTGTGTGTCAGCCTACTGTTCTAATCTGGCATTTTGCTTTCATCGGGATTTTTTTTTCCTGGGAACGATAAAGCTCAGTCCTTCTTCCACGATGAAACCCACCAAGGCCAGCATCCTGACAAGGAGTTTCACACTCAATGGATGTCATGTGAACCAGGCTGTCTCGGGAACATCCAGTCCTCCGGAGGGGACACAGCCCCCTGTTCGGACCCTCTATCCACGCAAATGCAGCTCCCAGCCCTGCTTCAGGGATGCCTGCTATAAATCACACCTCCTCCTTCACCCCCATGAAACCAAACACACTGAAGAGCAGCACCGACCGCAAGTAGCACTGATTACGCCGTTTCCCACTTCCCTCGCGGACTTTCCTTAAAAACCCAATGAACACAGCTTTTACTACTATTATTACTACTGCCATCATTATTTTTTACACACGAAATCGGCCAACCCCCTCATCTTTCGAGCGGTGAGTCTGCATTTTCCTTGCTCGCCGCTCCTTTTTAGGCATCCAAAATGAGCAAGTGCCCAGCCCAGCCCGGCCGCCCCGCCCGAAGCCATGGCCGGGGGGTGCCCTGGGGGGCTCGGAGCGGCCGGCGGGGAGGAGCCGCCGCGCTCGGGGGAGGGCAGCCGGCACCGGGGGGAGGCTCTGTCCCCGCCGCCGCCCAGGCTGTCGGCGGGGCTCCGTCCCCGCCGCCGGCGGTCCGTGCGGCTCGGGGAGTCCTGGCTTCCCCGCCGCTATCTCCCGGGGGACAGCGTCTCGGAGACGGGCGCAGCCGCCCTCTCCGCCTGGTTGCGTGCCGAGAGTAAACACCGAGGGAGAAGGCAGCCTCCATTTTTTTTCATCCCGGCAGCCTGTCAACAGGCTCCCCCCCTTCCCGTCCCGATCCTCCGCGCCTAGCCCGGCTTCCCAGCCCGGCAGCGCCCGAGAGCCGCTGCTGCCCCGCCTCAGGAGAGGCAGTGACACCCCCTTAACATGGTCTTCGCTTTTTGTCTGCCTCTTTCTCTGCTCCTTAGAACATCCACTTTCCATGCCACTTCTCCCATTCCTGGCCTGTGCCGCCACCCAGCAGCACAGCACCGGAGAAGCGCTGCCTTTTATAGCGGTGTCATCCTTGCCTGCTCGCCGGCCTCCCCGGGGGCCCCGGCCGGTGCAACCAGCTCCCCGCAGCCCTGCGGCTCCGCTCACCCTTCCCGCCCCTCCGGCACCCTGGGCTTCCCAGATCGAAGCGGCTCCTCCGCCCCCCTCCCGCCCCGCAACCCCCGGCGGGACATTTTCGGGGACCCGGGTCCGCCTGGCGCGGGGTGGTGCCGCCCGGCCCCGGTGACGCGCCCGCTACCGGGCCGGCATGGGAGGCAGAATCGCACCTGTCACCGGCGACACCGCCCCGGGGCGGCAGCAGCCCCGCACCCTCCCGGTCGGGCCGTGCAGCCGCCGCCCCCGTTTTCACGCCTCGGTTCTGCCGGCGAGGGTGGCGTCCCGCCCGCGAGTTGCTGTGCCTAAGCCCCGCTGTCCCCGGCACGGGACGGGAGGGCCCGACTCCCTTCCCCGCCGCCTCCCCGCGGAACGGACGGGCAGTGCCGAGGCGGCCCCGGCAGCGAGAGGCGGGCGAGCCTTCCCCGAGGCCACATGACAAAGCCGGCTGCCCTCGCCTCCTTTCCCGGCTCCAGGGGGAAGACATCGCTTCCCCAGGGCCACCTTTCGCCTCTACCTCCAGCCGCGGTCTCGCCGCCGGCCCTTCCTCCCCGTTCCCTCAGGACAAGACAGAACTCACCGGATCGAAAGAACGCCGCGATGTCCGCCGAGTCCTTGGCCGCCTCCTCGGCCCCTTCCCCCGCGCCGCTGCCGGCCGTGGTGGCGGCGGAGGTGGCGGTAGCGGCGCTGCTCATGGCTGCTGCTGCTGCTGCTGCGTGTGCCGGGAGAGACCCGCCGCCGACCCCGCCGCCCCCTCCGCGGATCCCGGCTTCACCTCCGGGCGGGAGCGGCCGTCAGGGCGGCAGCCGGAGCGGGCGAGCGATGCGGGGCGGCGGCGGGCGGCCGCAGCGAGCGCAGGGACATGAAGGTATGTGCGGAATGGCAGCTCCGGGAGCGCCCACCCCCCGCAGCCACCTAGGAGGCGGCGTGTGCATGCAGGGAGTCCAGGCGGGCGGGCGGGCGGCAGCCGGAGTGCAGACAATCGCGGGAGGAGGAGGAGTAGAAGGAGGAGGAGGAGGGCGACGACGACGACGGCATGGGAAGGGCCAGCGATCCGCGCAGCGAGCAGCCGGTGGGCGGAGAAAAAAGGCACGTTTCCAGCCTCTTTTTTTTTTTTTTTTTCCTTTTTCCCAATATATATATATGTATATATATATATGTATATATATATTTTTTTTTTAAGAAGGAGCGAGGAGCGATCCGGAGGAGCAGCAGCTGCCCTAGCCACCGCGGTGCCAGCGGTCGCAGCAACTGCCGTTCTCCATCTTGACTGGGAGGAGGAGGAGGAGAGTGGGAAGGGGGAGTCGGGAAAGGAAGCGAGTCCCCGCCCGAGGAACAAGGGCGGTGGAGCCGAGAGTGGGGGGAGCTCGGGAGTCTCCGGCTGCGTCCGGCAGCGGTCGGGATGGGGCGGGGCTGGGCGCGGGACGTCAGCGCTGCCGGCCGGGCCTGCACCCCCCGGCTGGGCCGCGGCGGCCGGGGCTGCCCGGCGGCTCCTGGAGGCGCGACTGCCCGCTGGGAGCTGTGGGCTTGTTCTTCGGGATTGGGGTTTCTTTTTGTTTAGTTGGGGGATTTTTTAGGTGCTTCCGGATGGCTTTCGCCCTTCTGCCAGCTCGCCGGTGTGCGGAGGTCGGAGTGGAGGTCCAAAAAAAAAAAAAACCAAACAAAATCCAGTCCGTCCGCCCCGGGAGCGTGGGAAGCGGTGCGTGCTCCTGCCTGCCGCTCCCCGGGCGCCAGGGACCGCCAGCCTCCGAGGGGCCGTGCTCGGGAGAGACCCACTGCCCGAGGTCGGAAGGAGCCGGCTTACCTCTGGAAGGCACAGGGGAAAAGGGCTGCGCAGATTTCTTAAAAGGGTGTCTTTAAAAGGCTTCCGTTACATTGCTGTCTGTATTGTGGATGCTTTCTCTTCTGTGATCACGGGGACACTTCAAAAGATTTTTTTATGCTATGGACCGGTTGAATTAATATCAACAAAGCAAACGGCTCACGATGGGGAAGTTATGATGTGTCCCACCACCGTCCTGCTTCTCATGTTAAGGCAGTATAAGTTTGCTTCCAGGTAAGGTTGAGGAGAGGATGTTAGAGTAGGAATCTTAATAGTTGCAGAGATTGATGAATCTGAGAAACACATCTCAAATGCTTGTGGTAAATAATAATTTGTTAGCACACTTGAAATGCAGAAGTACAGCTTCAGGAACTGAACTCCTGAACCTTTGGTAAGTGTTAAAAGGAAGGTAAGTTCAAGAGAAATTGGTTTTGTAGAATCATAGAATATCCCGAGTTGAAAGTGACTCACTAGGATCCTACACTGGACTACCCTGAGAATCCCACATGTGCCTAAGAGCCTTGTCCAAATACTTTTTCAACTCCAATAGGCTGTGGGCTATGACCACTTCCCTGGGGAGCCTGCTCCAGTGCCCAACCAGCCTCTGGGAGAAGAACCTTTTCCAAAAGCTCAGCCTAAACCTCTCCTGGCACAGCTTCATGTCCTTCCGTTGGATCCTGAGGGAATCCTGACGGGTTCTGTTAGTTTATCAGTCAGATGAGGAAGTCATCTGCAAGGTTCCCAAGGTTTGTGTTTAGATAAAGTTGTATAGCTTGATGAAAAAGTTTTTGTGCAATCATGCCTGCCCTGATTTCTCTTAGAGAGAAAAGATTTGTTAGACTGAAAAGTTTTTTTTTTAATGTTTTTCTTTTGGACAGCAGGCACTGGAAAGAGTTTCAAATTAGCATCCCACTGGCAGAAGTGGTTGCAACATGAATTTCTTTCTAACTTGCACTATCCACTGAGCAAAAAACATGAATGGGACAAATGCTGCTGTTCCCTAGCAAGCAGTGAGTTGACCTAGGGATAGGAATAGGATATTGTATATCTGCCCAGGAAAAAAAAAAAAGATCTGTGTAAGAATATGAGAAAATTGAGTAAGTGTATGGAAAGTGTTAAATATTATGAGTGCAGAAAAGAATAGGAACTAATCATTCCAGCTTTCAGTGGCTAGAGAGAAAGAAGGGCTTGAAAATTTGAAAAAAGACTTCAATATGCTGTGCAACTCTGGAAAAAGCTTTAGAAGGTTTTTCATCAGTTGTTGAACACACTGACTTTCCGTTTCCAGCTAGTTGCTCATCCAGTGCACTGCACAAATTGTAAGTGGGCGCTAAAAAGGCAAGATTAATTTGAACACTTGAAGGCTGTATGACTCAAGTTTGTCCCTTCCTCTGTCCCCTCCATCTGCTGAATTGCAAGAGATGCTGGGTTTGCTTTTTTCTTAGCACATGGATGCCCTGAGCCATGTCCCCAACTAGAGGAGCCTTTCATCACTGTGAAAGTGATTAAGAAGACTAGTTGTAATTTTGAGTTCTTCATCAGCAACAAAAGTGGCCCTTACAGAACATCCTTCAAGAGCCAAAAATGCTCATATCCTTTGCACGATTCATAAGGATTATAGCAATACATAGGATTCATGCTAATGTTCAGGATGCTGAATATTTACTGAAGGGTAAGTTAAAAGAAAAAGACAAAGATAGGAAAACGACATTATGACAAAGTTACTTAATACTCTAATAAAACAAGGATTTAATTCACAGTTATGCACCTTAGTTATCAAATACCAGATTTAATATTTTGACATTAGGAAATTAAGTTTCTTAGTCTGGTTCTTCTTGATAATTTTAGGCTTCAAACAAAAACAAACCAGGTATGAATTGTCTATATGGAGAATGTCCCACGTTGGAAATTTGTGTGAATTTGAAAGCCTGTCATTAGGGAATAGCCATATTCTCCTCATCTCTTACACTACTTATCTTAGTTTTTGTCAGCCTACAAGTATTTTTGCACCAATTGCAATTGAAAATGCAGGGATGGAAAAATACTCATGGTGTAAAAGATACTGTAGCACTAATGTGAAATATCAATAATGTTAACGCACACATTCAAGTTAATTTCAGATTGTATACTAGCAGTTTTAAACATTATTGATGTTCAAGTTCTGTGCTTAATTTCTGTATTTTATATATGCATATGAGGCATTTAATTTTATATAAGCACATTTTTCAAAAATATTTATACCCCAATAAAATAAATGCCCAAAGAGAAGTGTTGTTTCATTTGAATGCCCTTTGTTTTTACATGAGTTGTGTCTAACTGTGATTGAATGGTCACTCCAAAATCAGTATGCCAAACACAAAAAAACTTCATTCCTGTCAAAGAGGTGTCTTGTGAGGGAAGAAGCCTGCCCAGAGCCTAGCCTTGTGTATCCAGGCTGAAAAGTGTCACATGTCACTTCATGTTTCATCCCTACAGGAATTTGTGGACTTCTTGAGTTCTTTTCCTGCAGTATTTGCTGCCCACTTGATCAATAAAACAAAGAACAAAGAATCCCCCATTTCTATAGGACGTTAATGAAAGCAGGGCAAGCTTGATTTAAAAATCACTAATACTTACAAGCTTTTAGGAGAAGTAAATTAGAAACTCATTAGTTTGGACAAACTAGAAGACAGGAGGTGGTATTGACATGGGGCCATGAATCAGAATTGTCTTCCTGCTTAGAAAAAGTAATGGAAAAAGAGACTTCAATTATGAAAAAAATAGCCCAAAAATGTACAACTACAAAACCTACCCAACAACTAGATTTTTACAATGGAGTTCTCTTCTTGTAGCTATTTCACAAGCTTCACTATTCATTTTGTGCACAAGAACACAGAACATAAAGGATAATGTGGGGACACTGTAAGGGAAAATGCACATGGACTTCAGACCAGCCAGCCTCTAAGAACTGTTTCTTGCATCACTTATTTTTCTGCAGCATGTTTTTGGGGGACTCAAATCTGTAAAACAAGTTATAAACATGGTAAGAAATAGAGAAGGCCATATCAGGTGCTACTGTGCTTTTAAGATGATAAGGCTTCTTTCAAGTTTGCAGCAGTTAAGGAAAGCAATCAAGAGTTATTAATGTGCACCACCTTGGAATCTGGTTTCTGATCTAAATGGTGCTTGTGTTATAGCAGCATTTGTCAATTTCAAATTATTCTCAGAGCACATGGTCTATCTCTTCTATCTGTAGACAGGCACTGAGGCATTTTCCAGCTGTTATCATTATTATTGCCCTCTTTTCCACAGAAGCATCCAAGTCTTTTTAAAAAGTTGTCTTGAACAATATTGAGCTTATGTGCTCTACTTCCTTATCCTATAAAATGAAGTTCTTGTTTCATTGTATGAGTTTTGGCAGCTTTTGGAAATTTGTTTATTCATAATTTTTTCTATTTTTTTTTTTTTAGAAGATAATGTACCTATCATCAATGTAATGTATTGTTGGTCTAATTGGAAATATTTTCTCCATATTTTCCCTGGTACAAATTGACATGTACAAGCTTGAGAAGTGAGCCCATGGTAATCTCATGCGTTTTAAGAAGACCAAGTACAAGGTGCTGCTGGTCAGTACCAATACAGGCTGGGGGATAAACAGATCCAGAGCAGCCCTGCTGAGAAGAACTTGGAGGTGTGGGAGAGGCTGGACATGACCCAGCCATGTGCACTCACAGCCCAGAACCAAACATGTTCTGGGCTGCATCCAAAGCAGGGTGGGCAGCAAGGGAGAGAAGGGACTCTGCTCTGGTGAGACCTCACCTGCAGTGCTGCATCCAGCTCTGGGGTCCCAACACGGGAAGGACATGTCCTATTGGAGCAAGTCCACAGGAGGGACATGAAGATGAGGATGCAGCACCTCTCCTATGAGAAAAGGCTGAGAGAAT